GTCTAAGTACCCAATCCGGGATGGCGGCCGCATACCAAGCTATGGGGGTAGGGAGAAGCTTGAAAAGAAAAAAAGTCAAAGGCCTCTTAGGTGATTTAATGACCGAGAAGCAATTCACAGCGGAACAGAACGAGGTATTATACATGTAAAAGTACGCAAAGAAACTATTTTTAACGCTATCGCCAAGGAAAAGATAGGTAAAATAAGGTTGAAACGTGGTTGGCGACAACCGTCTGTTAATTGCGCCGATGAACTGTGTCTTGTTTATGCATATTAGCTTCCTAACACGTCATATATAGAGACAACAACGTTGAAGAAGATATGGTGATTGCCCCCAGTTTGACCGCGGCGACTCGGAGACGGTCACAACTTAGCCGAGGAGTGAAAAATATTACGCAATAGTTCGATCGAACCATTGTCTTGACTAAAATAGGGTAAGCCGAAGACTCAGGCTGCCAAGTCCTAGGAATGATCAGTAAACAAGTACCACCGGTAGTTTTACCTCGTCCTGACGTCCACTTCGGGATTTCCGCTCTCGAGTAGGGCAATTCGAACATCAACGTTCTACCTTTAGCACTATTTTTTGTACCTCAAAACAGCGGCTGATGGTGATAAAGTCCAGTCCGTCACAGATTTCTTCAAAAGACTGAGACGATATAAGGCTGGCAGAGGCTTATTTGACTCGCGTTTACTCAGGCAAAAGTCAGAGCTTTAAAAGGCTCTAAAACGATGCAGCAGAGCAAGCTACTGCATCATTTGGTAACGTTTACTAACTGCACTTCAAAAGGTCCATACAATCGGATTACTTAAGACCGAATGCATATGAAAGATGCTTCTATATCTAACAGAACCTCGGAACTTTACCACAATTGTATGATGCAAAATCTTTAAATAGCCAGGAAACAACCAGGCCATGCAACGAAACGGGGAGAGGAAGATTTCTTTTGCGTTGATTACCTGAGAATCGAAGTGCGATTTCAATGCTCCGAGACTCCACCATTCTGAGTCCTGTTGCGAAAGTTTTGCGAGGCCAGTCGAGATGGAAATTCTGAATAATAACCACTTGACGGAAAACGCGACTATGGGGTAAGATGAGAAGCATCTTCGTTTCCCAAGTTGGAAAGCGAGAATGGTGGCCAGTAATCCAGCTTCGAGCAAGGTGCTGTTCCACCAAAACCTTTCCAGTGGGGCAATTACCTAGGGAAGTGCATGCAGAAAGAGCACCAATACCTTAACAACCGAAAGGAAGCATAACCAAAGCACTAAATAGAAGGCGACCAGTCTCAGTGATCTCGACACGATGACCAAGAAGGAGACTAGAATTCCAATGAGGACGAGCATTTCAGCAAAGTGATATGCGTCGAGGCTGACCAGATCCTTGAATCGGAGAAGAGTTGGCGTGCCCAGCATAAAGTCTTGCAAGGACTTCGGGACTTCAAATACAAAAAGGCCGATAAGAAAGCTGTCTAAGATTTTACCTGAGAGTGGGAGTAGACGAACAGGCGCAATGCCGTCATCGCCAATGAGACCTAGAAATGACAAGGAAGCTAAATGGTCATACCTGGGAGTTGAATATAAAGAGAGGAGAAGGCCAAAAAGTACACAAGGCCTACGCCAAAAAGCAGTCCATCGGCAGACATGGCAAAGGTAGGTGAACAAACAAACTTGCCACCAGTTGGGCAACTTAGTAAAACATACGCACTAATTGTTCGTGGAGACGAAAAAGAGAGTCTCAGTTAGCAGTCACAATATTCACTGATTTCAGCCATTCGTCAGGTCAAGGATAACAGATTATAGATCTCAGGATAGTCTAAGCTCGCACACTCCGGAATACCTGATTCTACTAGGTTCTCTCGGAAACCTGATTCCATGTATCCTTACCCTAATACATATTGCTGCGAATTGTGTTGGTCTCCTAAATAATTTTATTACCGATGACCTAAAAATAACTTTTATCTTTAAAACCTGCAATCATGCCTTTCCGAACAGTATTCCTGTCAACCTCTAGTGCAGTTTACAAATTATGGAGCGAATCGCTGTGAGCTCTTCGCCTCTTTCTAAAGCAACATAAAGTATACTCACCGGTCAACATGGCTTTCCTTAAAGACGGTCCTTTCATACGAACTTCCGACCATAACACAGACCTTTTCATGAGGCGTGAACAGTATAATAACGTAGTAAACCTCCTAGTTGGCTTCAAGGAGTCTCTTAGCCAAGTTATCCAGCGATTAGGGAGATGTGACTGATGATGCACCGTCCTGATTCGCAATCATCAGACTTCTCGTTAAGTTGATCCTTCCAACCTCTTCTGGTGGGTATGCAAATCATACGTCGGTAATTACTGCCAACTACCTTCCAGGTTCCGATAAGGCCCACGATTGCCGAGTACTGAAGACATTCTCTCGCGTCTGCCTCCGATGGGATCGAGTTCGCCGGCCATGGGAACCAGTAAATGGCGGCCCATTCCGGATTGTCTATCGAGAAACAAAGACGTTCCGCACACACTGCAGAACGTTTGAGGAGGTTGTGAACGTGAATCGCCTCGAAGCAACTGTTCCGGAAACCCCATCGGACAAACTGTATGATCCCCTACGTCCTGCTCATCTACCTCACCTACCCACTCTCTCTTCATCCAGTCAAACTGCTGCTCTCTTAGTTTTCGCTGTCACCGCCTTTGACCTCACTCTCAAACAACAGCATACACCCAGTCATCACCCCATCTCCCTCCGCGCAATATTATGCATTATGAATGCCAAGTTTGCTTTCTTGACCACTTCGTCACTCATATTTGTAGACTTACATCTTCCTTCCAGTGTCCTAGTACGTTCCCTCCAGTCTCGGATGTGGGTACTAATTCGATATGCCATACTAACTTTTGACTTAACTGTCTGATCTATTTTCTTTGCCTGCCATTGTTGTTTCAACGCAACCGGAACAACGCTGGATGAAGACTTGCGCTCTCCACATTGACGCTCGACCAGTCCCGGTATCAGGTAATTCGGCTTTTGAATATCAATTTTGTCTTTTGACTGACTGTTTCGGCCCAAATCAGTCGAGTCGTTACGGGTCATTGATGGCATCGGACTCGCGCAACTCTAAATGTGTGATTTGTTCCTGCTGTGACCAGGTGCTGTGACTGTGTAGTCTGAGCGCCACCAAAATCAGGGTAAATCCCATGTTGGGAGGAGAAGACAGGAGGCACCAGAATGAGGGGTTTAATGTATTCAAAACCGGAGTTGTCCTCTCAGACGGCAGTGGTCACTGGCGAAGCCAGGGCTGGTGTTGACTGGGTCCAGTCATGCCTGAGAGTTCATTCGACAGTGGTGGCAGCCACTTTTGTAGGCTCTTGGGCCAAGCTCTAGTGGTGTCCAGTCAGTGTGTGTTGCATTTCCCGAGGAGTGGTATCCCAGTGGTTTATATTGTGGTTGAAGGGGGGCGGTGCACTCAAGTGGCCTCATGGGCAGCTGCGGCTGTGCGGACGCAGGTGTGCCCGAGCTGTCGGTCGTATGACTTCAGGTCAGCGTGTCTGAAACGGCTCTCTGCAAAGAATGAATAAGCTTGAGGCGACGAGGTCTTGAACAATGACGCAGACCGGTCATGATATCTGCCCTCTACTCTCGTTAGACAGGCTGTCAAGTAAGTCATGAGTTATCGCGTCAGCGGCGATTGCAGTCTGCTGGCATGACTAATACCAAAATTCTCTGGGTTAGAAGACAGCGTTTGGTAGGATGTCCGCCGTACGTGTACGAAACGTCAAAATACAAAATTCTTCTGGTCATATCTTCAAATTTTTGCAGTATGTCTACTGCTGTTCCTTGTCCACACGGAGCATCTGCCAGAGAAACATTTTGAGAAATTCCTCCAGTTCGCGGACGATAGGAGATACTATGTTTGACGCAGGGAGGTACCTCAATCCACTAGGATAAAACGCGTGGATGCAGATGGATCGATCAAAGAACTCTTGTCACAACCATATGAACGTCCCCATTTCCTTTGAGCAACTCAGAGGTAAATTGATAACCGGGCCTAAACAATTCCATGGAAGGCTGATTCTGTTCACATTCTGATGCTGCCAAAGACTAAGAAGTTGTTCAGCCGACAAGCTTGACTTCCGGAAAACGATGCTCGCAGTTTTCTGCGAGGAAGCTCAGAGAAGTCTTTCCCACATAAGACCGTTTAAGAAATTTCACCAATTTACAATCCCCAATCCCTCGTACAAATTTGGGTATAATGACCTTTAGTACTGCTCTCCTCTTCAGAAAGCAAGATTTGTTCGCAGGTTTCGGAGCTTATAACATTCAGGTCGCCTGTAATACCCACATATTTTCGCAGAAAATTTCCTACAAAATTTCTGAAAGACGCAACGCCCTCCAACATATACGTAATCAAAAAGTTTTGTTGACAAGTCACCAAGAGTTATACGCCTGCGCGTACTCAAGGGTCCGAAGCGTATCGCTCACAAAACGCAATCGGTCAACAGAATTACCCGGACTAAGGGACAGCATGGCACATCCGTTCCGTTTTAAACAATTCCCTGATCAGCTGGCCGGAAAGGAGTATAATGCTGGTCGTTCGAGAACTAGAACGCCAAAGAATAGATATCACTGTTGTCAGAGACCTGGCTCTCCGAAAAGTGTCAGCTGGTTGGAGGCAGGTGCCGGCTGCAGTGTGTTCAGAAACGGGCGGGCAAAACAGAACGAAGCGAGGGTGGCGTTGCCTTTGGCCTCGCGAAGGACATCGTAGGACGCTTTTTTGTCTGTCGCAGGGTGTCAGTAAACGTCTGAGGGAATAATAAATCCGAGGCAGCAGGGCAGGATATCGGACACGCAAGTCCTTGAAGAGATTGGCATCCTCGACATCCACGCCACGCTGAGGCAACAGCATCTCTGCTTATCGGTCAATGCACGAGGACGGACTACGAGCGCCTATTAAGGCGCCCTTATACCAGGATGTCACTAAGGGGTGTTTGTTAGCGACACTCCGCGGGCGTCTCTAAAGGATTCGACGACGCCGGAGGACCTCGCCCAGGATCGGACGACTTGAAGAAGGACAGTGAAAATTGGAGCAGCTGTTTTCGAAGCCAACCGAACCACGACTGTCAAAGCCGAAATAGAAACTCGCAAATCTCAAGCGCCGCGGACCCACAACCCCAAAACCGAAACCCTCCTATCGTGTCCCCGTAGTCAAGTGACAGTCCGTTATCTCATCCACCTTAACAATATCACAGGGACTTTTTTGATTGCCATCATCAGCATTCACAAGTGTGATCCTCCACAGACTGTCTACCCGGTGGACGATTTCCTCTATCTGTCTGCTAGAACACACCTAACGGAAAACCACCAAAAGTCGCCTTCCACCTGTCACGTGGCGCCTGCCCTGACGCCCGATGCAAAATAAGCTTCGAAATTTGTCGTCTTATTTTGCAGCCTAATTTACCAGTCTGATAGGGCGCATCCGGCAGAAAACCACTAGGAATGGCCTTCCGACCTAGCTACACGTAGTGTCAGCCCCAACAGAATGCTGGGATGCCGCCTCATCAGCCTGACGATAGTTACAATAAAACAGGGCCTGCGTAAAACAAGTTATCTTTAGGACTTCGATGACTCAACGCATCCCTCAGTCTCAACCCTTGCGACAGTATGTGCTGAATCGTGTAATTATTTTCCATATTGACCACAGAGGTAGAAGCTGTTATGACACAGCGGCTGATGGATTTCAGCTCAAATATTCATAGCAACTTTCGGACTGTGCCTGAAAATGTATGCTCTGAAGGATTTACTTCAAGTTCGCGAATTAATTTCCTCGAAAATTAAACAAGACAATATGTACTACCGAGATTTGACATAGTATGTGATATCTGCTCTAAAACGGTCGTTTCTGGCATATCAGTCTTGGCCTGACTGCCGTCAACACTTCTCGGCTACTGATTTTGTGGTTCTTCAAAGGGGATCAAGCCCTCTGCTTCTGGTACTCACGTCGAACTAGGAGTCATGCGGTTACGACTCCTGAGCTCCAAAACGTGAACACATTTAGCCCTTAGGATGGCCAATCACGGCGCCCACAAACTCCACTATCATCCAATTAACTGACCAGACTGACACTGACTAACTCTCATGTGACGTTTATTCACTCACATTCATGTCACCGTAGTACGCGGGCTTACAGCCGGCCCTGCCTCGGGGGCTTTGACAACTGTGGGGCTTCTGTACAGAATACTAATACCCCTACTAGTGTCTTTCTCCTCTTCTAAAGCTGGACAGGGCCGTGGGTATTGTGACGTTCTGTGTGCGCTCTCACTGCTTAGACGCCACAACCTCTCATCGCCATATGATCGTACGCTTCCTGGACATCCAAGGCAGAACCGATCGACTTCGTGAACTTATGGCGCTATATTTGACAACTAAGAGGCTAATACAGCATCTGGGTTGCTTTGCAGACATTGCGAAAACCTTTTGGGAGGTAGGTAAAGTAATTTGCATTATGACAGACTAGCAGAAGATGACAAGCAGCCGATGGTAAGGGACAGGGGGTGAAAGTTGAGGGGTGTCTGGAAATGCGAAACATGGGAAGAAAGAGACCTGGAGGTAGAGTAAGAGTTCCTTTGGGATGTGTTTGCATTCCTTTGACTTTGACTTTGTAA